AACATACGAAGAAGCAGCTGAGGAAGTGGATCAAAAATTATTACTTAATCAAAAAGCTTTTCAACAAGCGGTAGGAGTTGTAAAAAGCCAGGATGATGGTTTAGAAGAAAGCGAGTTGTCATCATCATCAGATGAGGAGGATGATGGGCGTGGATATTTGGGAAGTGCTGTCGAAGGAGAAGGATCAGATGATGAGGTGATTGTCTATAAGTAATTAATTTTCAAGCTATCTTTACGTTTTATAAAATAACTTATCTGTTATATCGTTTTATAGCAAGCTGATACTGATGAAATAGAAGAGGTTGATGATGATACTGAGTTAGTTGTTCATACTAACCGGCAAGATAAAATCTCATTAGAAGAGGATGAAGAATTTGAACGAGAATTTAGCCGAATGATGACTGAAAGTATGGAATCACGCAAATATGAAAGAAAGCCTGCTATGCTAGATGTGGCGATTCCAATGCATCCAAAAAGTATAGACAAAGCAGCAGACCATATAGATGGTAGTGTGTCCTTTACATTACTGGTTAAAAAAGGAAACAAACAGCAGGTTTGTACACTTTCTCTTTATAATATATATTCATTTGATCAAGATTTACGAAGGTTTTACGAGCAAAATGTTCATTTAACAGACAAAAACTATAGAAGTTCCGGCCGAAAGTGCATTAGCCGTTAATACACGATCCAAACAAGAAGCTGAGCGTGAAGAACAACAACAACTTAAAAAACTTTGAGTGAAAATATCTCAACCACCTGACCGATTTCGATAAAAATTTTTTTATCTGAATTCTATGAGTCTGTAAAGTTTGGATAAAAAAATAATTTATTAAATTTGATGAGGTAGTTATTATGCCAGCTTTAGTTAAAGATTCTAAAAAAATTAAAAACACTTGTTTACTAAAATTGATGATCGTGATTGGTTGTCAATTGATTTGCGCGACCCCCCTAGACCGTCAATTTACTAATTACACCGCTTTAGCGGACCCCGGATTAAGGAATATAAAATATGATGTCTACCAGGATATCCGATTAGATATCCTGGATCCATGCACTAAGCATAATTTCCGCCACCACCG